GTCAGACCCCTGCACTCCCTATACCCAGCGGGTGTGGGGGGGGGGGCACCCAGCCATGCAAAGGGCACGGGCCCGAAAGTTGGCATTACCCAGGCTGCAAAGAAGCCCTTGGCCCTTGTGAGGGTTTTTGGATATGCAGGGCCACAAACCAGGTTTGGCTCAGCTCAGCTTTTTACCTCCAACCCCACGGCTCTGCTCCACAGAGCTTGGAACCCCAGAGCCACTTCTCCATGATCCTGGGCAAGATCTGACCCCCCCGCCCCTCAGAGCTGGGGGGGATGATTTTAAGCTCAAAGAGGATGGATTTATGTTAGATATGAGGAAGAAGCCTTTTTTATGATGAGGGTGGGGAGGCCCTGGCACAGGTTGCCCAGAGAAGCTGTGGCTGCCCCATCCCTGGAAGTGTCCAAGGCCAGGTTGGACGGGGCTTGGAGCAACCTGGGCTGGTGGGAGGTGTCCCTGCCCGTGGCAGGGGGTGGCACTGGGTGGGCTTTAAGTCCCTTCCAATGCAACTCCATGATTCCATGGTGGAATGCCCACATTTGTGGATGGATGGGAGAAGGAAAGGAGCCCTCACTGTGACAGCCCTTGGCTTCCCTGCTCCTTTCCTTGGCACAGGACAGGTTATCCCCCTACGCCAGGAGGGTGTGGGGGATCCCTGTGGGCTCTGCCAGACAGTGTGGGCAGGACAATCAGGGAGCAGCAGCTGGAGGGCCCAGAGGTGCCAGTGCAGCTCCACAACCTGCTGCAGGGGGGGTTTGCCCCCAGCGGGGCAGTGCCTGCCCAAAACTGCAGCAGAAAGGACCAAACCCCAGCATCTCCCCAAAAAAGACCTTCCCCAGGATGGGGTGTCCCCCCCATTTCCTACTTTTGGGGGGAATCCCCAGAGTTACCCCACTGTGGCACAGCCTGGCTCGGCCCAGCCATTCAGAAGGATGTTATGAGAAGGATCCTGGGGAAAAATAAATAAGCTTAAAACCATTATCAATCAGGGTTATGCTTCCATTAGTTGCCCAGAGAACCCTCTGCCCAGAAGCTGCCTGAGCCTCCCAGGTTTCGAGTTACTGCCGTTTAGCTCTCAGTAAACCCACTGGATGCAATAAATAACTCGGTGGGTCCTGCGTGGGGGAACCGGGACCATTAAACGTGCCGAGTTATTCTTAGAGGAAGGAGGAGGGGGAAGGAAATGAAATCTCTAAACCCTCCTCTGCCGGCAGAAGCGGAGAGCAGCGGCGTCTCCATCACCTTCGTACCAGCACCATCTTCTGGCCAACAGCAGCCTCTCGGCCGGAGCTGGAACCCTGGGACCGCAAAACGGTTGGGTTGGAAAAGACCTTTAAGACCATCGAGTCCAACCATCCCCCAGCACTGCCAAGGCCACCACAGACCCGTGTCCCCAAGTGCCACATCAATGTCATGTCATGTCATTTAACACGGCTGTTAAATCCCCCCAGGGATGGAGACTCCACCCCCGCCAGGGCTGGACAACCCTTTCCATGAAGGAATTTTCCCCAATATCCAACCTAAACCTGTCCTGGCACAGCTGGAGGCCGTTCCCTCTCCTCCTGTCCCTTGTTCCCTGGGAGCAGAGCCCGGCCCCCCTCATATCTCCCCTCCTGTCAGGGAGTTGCAGAGCCAGAAGGTCCCCCCTGAGCCTCCTTTTCTCCAGGCTGAGCCCCCCCAGCTCCCTCAGCTCCTCCTGCTGCTCCAGCCCCTTCCCAGCTCCGTTCCCTTCCCTGACCGCACTTCTTTGGAGCACAGGGTCTCCTCAGGCTGGAAGAGCTGTGTTGGCTCCCCATGTTTTGGTAGCACACGGGATTGCAGACCTTCCCCCTCTGTGCTGGAGACCTGGGACAGCTTCAGGATCTCCCAGCAGAGCTGCTCCAAACTCTCCTTTGGGTTTTGTAAGTCAGTGGTCCAGGTGCTCCACCCCGATGATACCCATGGAGGTCCTGGTGAAGTCAGCCAGGTGCCCCCCACTGCCCCTGGAAAAGGCCCAGGAGCACCCAGGGATCACTTCTGGGCTCAGGAACACAAAGGCAAGTCTTCTTTCCCTCCTACACCATTTTTCCCTTCAGGAAGTCCAACCCTGGGCAGACCAAAAATAACCACCTGAGCGAGGTGATGACCAAAGAAGCCCAGCCAGGGCCAAAACAAGCAGCAGCTGTCCCAAAATAGCTCCAGCAGCATCCCACTTCCTGAGGGGGAGGGCAGGGCTCCTGGCACCGCCGTCACTCCAGTTCCCACCACACGACCACAGAGCAGCTCTTGCAGCTCCATGGGAAAGGGAGAGGAGGAGTCTTCCCACGTGCTCCACTTTGGCCTGGCACTCCTGGCGCTGCAGCAGGTTCCTCAGGGACCCCATCAGTGCCTGCCCACCCTCCAGATCCACTGTCCTGCAGCCCGAGGTTGTGGCACCACCTTCACCCCACGTCCTGGCCGGACACGGGGACCAGGGGCTTTGCCAACTCCTTGGTGGCCCCTCAGCAGAGGTGCCCAAGGTGGGGCAGGAGCCCAGATGACACAGGCAGGATCAGCAGCCAGTCTCAGCTTCTTCCCGTGCCCTCACAGGGGACACCCTGCCTGAACCAAGCAGCTCTGCCACTTTGGAGACCAGGGGAGAAGATTCCAGGTTGCCCCATCCACAAGGAGGACCCAAAGGTGCCGTCACCCCCGGTCCTGGCTGCCAGGAAATTCTACAGACACACAAAAACAGGTTGGCACCAGGGATATTTCCCCATCCCTGGTGGGCACAGCCACACCACCTCCATGGCCAGGGCTGTGTCCAAGCTGCACGTCGAGACCCTCACGGCCTCCCACCAGCTCAGAGAGTCCACTCAGCAATTGCTTGGATGCTGCTGCTTGACCCAGCTTGAAACCAGGCCAAGGATCATTTTTCAGCAACACAACAGGTCAGACAGTTGTCTGCCAGCACCCAGAAATGTTCATTAACCTCAGGACTGCTCTAGTGGTCCACCAGGTCTAGTGGGAGGTGTCCCTGCCCATGGCACAGGGGTGGGACAAGATGATCTTTAATGTCCTTCCCAATCCAAACCAGTCTGGGATTTGGTAGAACAGACTCAGACAGAATCTGCAGTTCTGGAGCACAGAAAAGACCATAGATTCATCCCAGTGTCCCTAAATTTTGAGAGTCCCATAGCAAAGGGAGTTCACCCCCCAAAAGCTGCAGTTGAGCTTTGTTTGGCCTGGGAGCACAAACCCTGCAGTGTCTCAGTTTGTCCATGGCAGGAGACGGGGCTGGCACTGGCTCTTCTCTTTGGAGCCCCCGGGTTTGGGACAGAACCCACAGCATTTCTTTCCCTGCAGCTCTCTGGTCGTGCCTGGCCCTGGTTTGGAGTCCAAGGAGCTCAATCTCCACTCCAGTGGAAATGAATGAAGGGATGTGATCCCTCTCACCTGGGACAGACTGCGGGACACAGGGAAGGAGCTGCAGTCGGGACTTGGATGTCTCACCTTGATGGGACAACAAGGAAAGGAAGGAATTTTCCCCTGTGAGGGTGGGCAGGCCCTGGCACAGGTTGCCCAGAGAAGCTGTGGCTGCCCCATCCCTGGAAGTGTCCAAGGCCAGGCTGGACGGGGCTTGGAGCAACCTGGGCTAGTGGAAGGTGTCCCTGCCCATGGCAGGGGGATTGGGTTAGATGGTTTTTAAGGTCCCTTCCAGCCCAAACCACTCTATCATTCCATGAAAAATTCACCTTGTCTGATAGAAGGGAAAAAAACCGGCTACAAGTTGCCTGGAGAATCTGAGGGTGTGTGATTGTTCTCCACGTCTGGGATGGACCCTACAGCCACCTCACAGTTCAAAACTCCTGCAGCCTCCTTGTCCCCTTTAGTTTGTTGCCACCACCCCCCCACCCCAAACAGTTGGCCCTGGGAGTCCCTTCCTCATTGTCCAGCACTGGATAGTTTCCAGGAAGGGAGAGAGGAGCGAGGCAGAAGGAGTTGTTGCACCGCCCTTGTCACGGACCCCGTGGGCTCAGTCCAACACACACACGGCCCCCGGGGCTCCCAGTGCCAATGACCCCATATCTCTCCCTGTGGACAGGCAGGATGTGAGCAAACTGGCAGCTTGGACACGAGTTAAATGTCCTGGAGAGTGAATTCCACAAAGCCCTTTCTTCTCCACAGTTCACTGACACATCAAAAGCCGAGATAAGCCTCGCAGACCATTGCACTTCCCAGGAGGGCTCGGGGTGACTTTATCTCACTCCACTTCTGCCTTCTGCATTTCTCTCCCATCACATGGCCGTGCCTTCTGCTCCTGCTCGTTTTGCTCTCTCCCCTGCCCAGATTTTGCCCCAATGTTTCCATGGTTGCCCAGATGCTCCCTGGAAGAGAACTCCTGGGAATCGAGGTGTGCGACATTCCCACTGGAGGCAGCGGGCACGGTGTCTTTGCTCCTTGTCCACACTTGGCACACAGTGACTTGTCACAGGCTGGGACACCAGGAAAAGACCTGTAATTCCTGTCACAAAAGCCATAAGGACATGGACTGGCCTCAAGTTTGGTGGCTCAGCTCTGTCACAGGTGACAGGAGTGTCACCCCTCAGAGGCAAGGCCAGGTCCTACCAGCTCTGTTGGAAGTTGGGGTCACAGAATCATAGAATAATAGAATCATGGAATGGTTTGGGTTGGAAGGGACCTTAAAGCCCATCCAGTACCACCCCCTGCCGTGGGCAGGGACACCTCCCACTAGCCCAGGTTGCTCCAAGCCCTGTCCAACCTGGCCTTGGACACTTCCAGGGATGGGGCAGCCACAGCTTCTCTGGGCAACCTGTGCCAGGGCCTCCCCACCCTCCCAGGGAAGGATTTCTTCCCAATATTCCATGTAAACCTGCCCTCCTTCAGCTTAGGGCCATTACCCCTTGTCCTGTCACTCCATGCTCTCGGGAAAAGTCCCTCTCCAGCCTTCTGGAGGTGAAATCAAGGGGACAGCCCTTCTTTTCACCTGCAAGCAACATTTAAGGTGGGAAGGAAACCAGAAGCTGATCCAACAAAAGGAACAGGTAACGTTTTCACTCCATTAACTGGGAGAACTGGCAGCTGCCTGGTCCATACTGGACAATTCCAGATGTCTGGAGTGACAGCTCCAGTTGTTGACCCTGCTTGAGCAGGGAGGTTGGACCCCATGACCCACTGAGGTCCCTTCTCATCCCACAATCCTGTGGCAGCTGCCAGAGGGTCCTGCCCGTGGGTGCAGGGGGCAGCTCTGCACTGGCACCATCTCTCTGACCCTCACACAACCCCGGAGCATCCTTTCCATGCCCAGCTGGAGTCTCACCTGTTCCAGTGCCAGCTCTCTCCCTGCTCCCACCCTGCTCCCATCCCAGCACTTGGGCAAACAGGTTCCCTGCATCCAGCACCACGGAGCCACCCCAGCACTGCACTTTTCCTCTGGGTAGTGGAATCAGCTGGAAGCCCCGCGGGGATTTGAGCCTGGCAGTGCTGGAGGTGTCTCCTTTATCCCTGGGGGCTGCTGGCAGAAGGGTTTCCTGGGCAGGGAAGTTCTTTCTTGGCCTCTCCGTGCTCCGGGGCGGAAGGTTAATTAGGTAGCAGGGTAATGAGGAGTCATTAAATCTGCCTGCACTGGGCTGTCAGCATAACAAGGGCAGCCCAAGGAGGTTAAGGCTGGGATTCTCCTTTTCCCATTGCCTTCAATTAACCTTTCCATGTTTCTGCAACACTCCAGGCCCCAGAGATGGGTCCTGGGTGCCTCTCAGAGGCTGTTAATTAGCAGAACACAGCAACAAACTTTCCCTTCAAGTAACGGGCAGGAGCCTTCTGGCTTTCGGTGTCAAATAAACAGGCAGGACCCAGCTCAGCCTTTGGGAATGCCACTGTCCCATCCAAGCTTGGGAGGGGGAAGGAGGTTCTTGGGGGTTTTTTTTTGGAATTGTTGCTCTACTCTTGCTCTCCACTTGTCAAGTGGGAAGAGCTGGGGGGGTCTCCTCAGCCCCCCACCAGTGGGATCCCTTCACTGTGGCCCTGGGGGGTCAGGCACAGCTGGGGCAGTGTCCCCAAACACTGGAGGGGAGGGGGGATGTTGTCCCACCACCTTGCTCTACACCCCTGAAGCTGTTGGTCCGTCCAAGAGTCTGTGGGGTGCCCACAGTGGGATTCAGAGCCCCCCATTAATTAGTAGGCAGGGTTGGGATCATAATTATTTACCCAAAAAGAGGTGGTGTCCGTGGTAAATATATCCATGGGGTATCCAGGAATAGCAGGCACATCCCAGGGAAAGCTCTGACTGATCCCCCAGCCGAGGAGGATTCCTGGTCCGTGCCAGCCCCACCTCCATGGCTGGGACGACAGGTTGGTCACCCCAGACTGCACAGGATGGGGAACAAGCCCCTGGCTGCAGGATCTGGTTCCTCTCCTGTTGGATTTTGCCTAATCCTAAGGAGAGGGCATCTCCCTCTGGGACCTTCAAGGACTCCATCCTGCCTCCATGGCAGGTGCCAGATCCCGCTCAGGAGCAAAGTGCTCCAGGACAGAGACACTGCTCACCCGAGTTTGGCAGGCTGCACCCTCCTCTAGGGAAAACTTGGGATGCAAGGGCTTGGGAAGCAGTTGGATGCAGCCTCTGGATGCCAGGACATGCTCAGCACCGTGGGCTGTAAGAAGATGCTCAAATCCCTGCCAGGGGGACCAGGAGAGCCGATGGTGTGTGGGGACAAGGGGATGGGGACAAGGGGATGGACTTGGGGCCTTCTGGAATTCCCTGGTGGATAAGATTCCTCACAGGGGAGGAAGAGCAGAGGAGACTGATGGTGAAGGACACAGAGGAGAGTCTGGAAAGCTCCAGGTACTTTTCCCACTCCCTGAAGTCCCTGGCTCTGTGCAGGAAGTGGTGTTTTCTCCTACAGCTTTTTATCAGAGCACCGAGACACCTCCTTCAGCTTGACTTTCCTTTCACCTTCTGCTCTCTGCTGGTGCTCTTTCCTTCCCCCATCTTTGATCTACTCTCAGGTGGGTGATGAGACTCTCAGGACATCCCAGCTCCCTGAGCCAGGTCCTTCCTCCCAGGGGCTGCCAGCAGAGCACACGGGGCTGTGCCACTGCTGGCCAAGGGAGGGTTTTCAGGGAGCACCCACTGGTGGAGAGGCATCTCAGCACAAAGGAACCTCCCAGCATCATGGCCAGTGGGTGGCCCGTGGTGGGGGGGGGTGGAACTGGGTGACCTTTGAGGTCCCTTCCAACCCAAACCATTCCGTGAGATGTTCAGCAGCTCCACGGGAAACATCAACTCCTGCCTACGTGCTGCTTTCCCATCTTAAATCCCAAAGGAGATCTGAGGGTGACAAATGAGGAGTGTCCATAAGAAAATCCTTTTCCTCATCAGCAGGAACCACACTGTACAGCTCCTGGGTGCAGGAGCACACAGAGCCCCCCAGGGAACATTCCAGAAGCCTGGGATGGGATGTTGGGAACATTTTTAACAGGAAGCCCTCTGAAAAAGATCCAGTTTCCATTCCCCTTCTACTTCTCCTGCTTGTGGGAGCTGATGGAGCGGGGAGAGGCTTCCCAACACGTCCTTATCTCCACCATCCAGATGGATTGGCCATGGTGGGGTAGCAGCCCCCAGTCACATGTGCTGCTTGTGACCCAGCAGCTCTGCTGGGACGTGCAGCCTCCACAGAGGGCCAGTGTGTGCTCCCACAGAGCCCCCATTGAGCCCCTCACATGAGCCCAGTCAGCCCTAACACCCGTGACTGCCCCCAGGCCAGCCTTGATTTACAAGGCAGCTCCTCTTTTTGGTGATTTTTTTTCCCCCCTTCTCGCTGCTCCACTCATCCAGCTCTGCTCCAGTGGGATGAAAACCTCCTCTGAGTCCCCCTGGACGCCCCTGTCACCTGACTGCCCCTGGAATCTGGGGGGGGTTTTCCTGGTGCCTCCCCTCCAGCACAGGGATCCCAGCACAGGATCTCTGAGCTGGGAGGGACCCACAAGGACCATCCAGCCCAACCCCTGGCCCTGCACAGGCACCCAAACAATCCTACCCTGTCCCTCAGAGCGTTGTCCAAATCCTCCTGGAGCTCTGGCAGCCTTGGGGCTGTGCCCACTGCCCTGGGGAGCCTGGGCAGTGCCCAACCACCCTCTGGGGGAAGAACCTTTCCCTGAGATCCAACCTGAGCCTGCCCTGTCCCAGCTCCAGCCATTCCTGGGTCCTGTCCCTGCTCACAGGGAGCAGAGCCCAGAGCTGCCCCTCATGAGGATGTTGAGACCCCAGTGAGGTCTGACCTCAATCTCCTGCAGGCTGAATGAGCCAAATCCCCTCAACAGCTCCTCATCCAGCCCCTCCAGCCCCTTCCCCATCCTCGTGGCCCTCCCTGGGATGCTCTCCCTCAGCTTTGTGAAGGCAGTACAGAGGATTTGACCCCTCACCAGCATGAGTGGGACAGGCAGGACAGCTTAGGGGGGCTGGGAGGTTCATGGAATTCACTGCAGGAAGGGAACTGAGGGCTGCTGCCTGCACGGAGGTGACCCTGGGGCGTTGCAATGGGGTGTTTGCAGCTGTGGGTGGGTGGGTTGTTACCTGACAGCTCCTTTCTAGGGCCAGCTTGGGGCACGGGCACCGAAGGCTCTTCCCACCTCTCCTGCCAAGGGAATTGGAGGTGGGCACGAGGAGGTTCATGCCAGCTCTCCTCTCCCTCAAACCCTTCTGGGGACACTGATCTCAGGCACCCAGTGCCTGGCCCACGTTGTGGTGGGGGGCTGCCAACCTTCAGGGCTGTCCCCATCACCTGGAGACATCCCAGTGCCTGATCCCAAGGCTCCTGAAGCGCTTTCCATCCCTCATCTAATTGCCTCTCCAGGGTGGTTGAACTGGCAGAGCACTGAAACCCAGCTGGTATCACACCAAGCCTCCTGCCCGGCCCTGCTGGAGGTGCCACACCCTGCAGAGCTCATGATGGAAGGATCAGATCCTCCTTGGACAGTGGGGACTTCCAGGGACAGGGATTCCTCGATTTGCTTTGAGGGCATCCATGAACTTGATTTTCTTCCAGCAGGGTCCAGGCTCAGGGGGTGAGTTTGGAGCTGGAACAGCCCAGGTTGTGAGTTTGCCACCACTATGAAATCCTGGTTATTTGTGGAGCATCCCTGGGCTGGTCACTCAGTCCTGGAAGTGATCAGCCATCGACAAATCCCAAAGTGAGGCAGCCTTGAGTTCCTCCCTGGCTTCCCCTCACCTTCCCCAGGGGTAACCAGAGCCCAAACTACGGGAAGGAAGTGTCCTGTCTCCCATGTCAGCGAGGTGATGCCCACAGAGTTTTTTCCTCTGCCTCCCCTTACTCCCAAAGCGTTTTTCCACTGCCTACGAGGCATTTTCCACTTTCCCCTTCCCAACTTCATCACTGGTGAGCAGCCAAGTGACTCTGCTGGTCTGCAGGGAGGGGGGTGACCGTGGGGAATCACAGCAGTCCTGCTCTCCCCAGGACTCTGAAGACTCTCAACTCCCCGTTGTTTACCCAACCCCTCTCCCGCTGTGATCCCTCATTCCCGTTTCCTGGAAAGGTCAATGCTACTTGAAGACGACCAAGCCCTCGTTGGTGGCTCTTTGAGAAGGGGCCATTAATCTCTCTGTAATTATCTGCAATTATTTCAGGAGCAATAACCCGTTTGTCCAAACTTTTCTCGGAAGCTTGTTAAGCAGAATGAGGGAACGGAAGGTGGGAAGGGATCCAGAGAAGTTCCCCCTGAGCTCCGGGAGCTCCTGCCAGAGCCACCGAGGATTTGCACCAGCAGATCGGTCACTCCCCAGTTCCCAGGAGGTGGAAAGATCACAGGAGGACCTGGGGATCTCCACAGGTTCCTTGTGGGTTCCACGTGAAGTGGCTGGACCTGCCTCTGTACCGACAGTGCTGGGATTTACTTCAGCTTCACTGACTTCAGGAAGTTTGTGCCTGAAGCCAAAACATTCCCAGTTCTTGAGCTGAACCCCTTAAGTGAAACAGATCCCCCAAAAGAAATGAAGATAATAAGCAGCAACCAGACATAAAAAAACCCCACACAACAAAAAACCCCAAACAAATCCACTTCCATTTTCTATCCAATTAAAAACATTATTATTTACACACACACATATATTTATATACATATATATATGTGCATGTAAGCAAATGGTTATTTAAAGGTCATAACAGTTCCCCAGGGCAGGAGAGTTTGCTCAGCTCTGTGAGGGCCTCGGACATTGTCAGTTTTAAAACCCCCAGTGTTTAGAATTCAATCAAAGAGCTGGTAAAGAGAAATGAGTGTAATATTTACATCTCAGCTCTGCTGCCAGACCAGCAGCCCATCTTTAATCAGGCTCATTAGCTAATGGCATCAGTGCTTCTAACAGAGGCTGGTATGAGAACTTCCCAAAACTGCTCAGGGAAATGCACCTTGTGGGGTACAAAAAGCGGATTCAAACACTGACAAAAGTAACATTTTGGTGTTAATGCACTAAATTTCACTCTGGGGCTTGGAGCAACCTGGGTTAGTGGAACCTCCATGGCAGGGGGTGGAACTGGATGAGCTTTAAGGTCCCTTCCAGCCCAAACCATTCCCTGGCTCCATGAGAAATGTGCCACAGGATGCCAGGGCAGAGCCCTCTCTCCTCCCAGGCAAGACATCCTTCTGTTGTTTCTGTGAGTGAGGCACACAGAGCTCCGGGATCCTCCAGCAAGAAATGCCTCTGGATCCACGGAGTGGATCCAAGCCCAGCACAGTTATTTGGGCCGAGCCTGCAGAGGTTACAGGACACAGGTGACAAAAAGGAATCCTCCAGGACACACCTCCTGGATGTCCCACGCTGGGAAGCCACATGCAGGGCTCAGCAGCACACCTGGAGAGCCTGGAAGAGTCCAGAAGCTGGAGCTCAAATGCTGCCTGTGCCAAACTGTCCCGGTCAGCTGTGGAACAACCTGTGGATCCCAAAGGAACCACAATTCCACACCTGCCCAGGCTCGGGGAGCTGGGGCTGAAGGAGGGTGTTCCACCAGCACTTTGGGGGGATTCTCTGTCACCTAAAGTCACCAATCATTTTGACAGCATGGATCCTGACCCTGTGCTCCTAAATCCCTTGTAAATGCTTCCCCTCTGTGTCTGGAGAACCCTCAGGACTTGTGGGGTTACTGGAGAAACGAAGGAGGTTGGAGCCAGGTGGGGGTCGAGCTCCTCTCCCAGGGAACAAGTGACAGGATGAGAGGAGTTGGCCTCAGGTTGCACCAAGGGAGGTTTTGCTTGGATATTAGGGCAAGTTTCTTCACCAAAAGGGTTTTCCAGCCCTGGCACGGGCTGCCCAGGGCAGTGGTGGAGTCACCATCCCTGGAAGTGTTCAAAACCACATTTAGTGGTGAACGTGGTGCTGGTTGACAGTTGGACTTGATGATCCTAAAGGTCTTTTCCAGCGTTAACAGTTCTGTGACTCCATGATTCTACGCCCTCTTTCCACCAAGGGCAGGATCAACCTCCTCCCACCACACTGGTTTCAGCAGCACCTTTGGAATACGGAGATATCCACAGCTTCTGGGACTTCCTTAAAGGCTCCCTGCACCCACGGGGGGGTCCAGTGATCCCAAACTCGGATGTTTTGCCATCTGAAGGCGACGAGAGGCTTCTGCTTGTGGCGAGTCCTGATGTGTCCGACGTCAGACTCTCAGACCTCAGACGTGACACGGGGACAGGACGTCCAGCCTTCAAAGAGCAGCAGCTGGGCAGTGTCCCCTGGGCCTGGGGCTGCTCCCAGGGGGCTCCTTGGGCCTCAGAAGTCGGGGCTGCAAATGCCCCGTCACCCTCGGAACGACTTGACTCCAGTTGGTCCCGGCTGATAAGAAAGTTCTGAGCAAAAGGACTTCAAGTGCGGGGTCAGCGCGGGCTCGTGGGAACAGCAGGGATCTGGCTCCCTTCCTTTTTCCAAGATATCCCCTCCTCCCTGGCAGGGAGAGTCCCGTGTGCCTGTTCCTCCACTCACCCACCCCGGCTGGAGGGAGGGGATTTGGCTCCAAAGGCACAAGGGCAGACACAGCTCCTGAAATAATCACTGTTTTCCAGCTCTTTACGGGAGAGAACGGCAGCATTTTGGTGGGATCCAGCCTGGAACTGCTGGAGGTTTGTAGTGTGGGATCCAAGGAATGTTAGCTGGAATTCCTCTTGGACTGGTGCAGGTCAGGGTGGGGATCAGGGACAGCAATATGGGGGATATGGGGGTTTTCATCCCACTGCTTCAAAGTTTTCCCAAGCCAGCGGGACATTTCCCCTGACTCATCCAAAGAGCATCTCTGAGCCTGCAGGCTCAGCATCTCCATAGGAGAGGAGCAGGAGGCAGGATAGGTCTTGCCACCACCTTTTGCTCTCTTTACTCTTCGTTGCTGTGCTGGGTGGTTGCTCCAGGGGTTAAAACTGAGGGATGTCGGCCTGGAGAGGGTAAAGGATGAGACAAAGTTCAGAGATCAGCAGCATCAGAGAGTTTGACATGAATGAAAACATTTGCTGCAGAAAAGCACCCCTGGAAAGATGCCAGAGCTGTTCTCCAGGACTCCAGACCTCTCCTGCGAAAGAGGCAGGGCGAAGGGAATGCTGGCAGCAAAAATGCAGGCACAATTATCTATTTATTTAATTTAAATGGTGCCAGGGAAGGCGCCAGGCTGGGAGGCAGTTCCTGAGCGTTCAAAGTCAGCGTTCCCAGAGCCCCAGAACTAAACCCAAGCCTTCCCAGAGGATCCCTGCATAAAAATACACCAGGCACTTCAGTCAGATAACAACAGCCCTCCCAAAAGCAGGAGGATTTGGCAGCTGATGAGCCCAGAAAAGCAAATTCCCAAAGGGTTTGGCCCTGCAGGTCCCCAGCAGTCTCTTCTCCCTAATGTTTTACCTGTTTGAATTCCTGAGGGACTGGCTCTGAGTGTTCCTGGAGTTCTGATTCAGGTCCCAGGGGAGAGGCACTGTGTGTGATGCCTCCATGAATATTCTCTCCTCCCAGACATCCCTGCTTTGCTGCACGTGTTTCCAAGCCCACTGCCTGCTTTTGGGATAACACAAACTCATGGAATCACAGAATCTCCTGAGTTTGCAGGGACCCACCAGGACCATCCAGCCCAACCCCTGGCCCTGCACAGACACCCCAACAATCCCCCCTGTCCCTCAGAGCATTGTCCAAACCCTCCTGGAGCTCTGGCAGCCTTGGGGCCGTGCCCACTGCCCTGGGGAGCCTGGGCAGTGCCCAACCACCCTCTGGGGGAAGAACCTTTCCCTAAAATCCAACCTGAGCCTGCCCTGGCACAACTCCAGCCATTCCTGGGTCCTGTCCCTGCTCACAGAGCAGAGGCTGGAGCTGCCCCTTTGCTGCCCCTCGTGAGGATGTTGAGGACCCCAGTGAGGTCTCTCCCCTCAGTCTCCTCTTCTCCAAGATGAACAAACCAAGTGCCCTCCAGACCCTGCACCATCCTCGTGGCCAAACTCTGGAGGCTGGGACTGCTCCTGAGCTGGGACAGGGCTCCAGGGCTGGGGGGGCCTCAGGGGAGGCTGCTCAGGGCCATGAACACTGATGGGCTCTTAATGGAGCTGGGGGGCCTCCAGGCACCTCCAGCCCAGCCTGGGCACATCCCTGGATACATCTCAGGCACATCCCTGGATACATCTCAGGCACATCCCTGGATACATCTCAGGCACATCCTGGATACATCTCAGGCACATCCCTGGATACATCTCAGGCACATCCCAGGCACATCTCAGGCACATCCCAGGACACATCCCTGGATACATCTCAGGCACATCCCTGGACACATCCCTGGACACATCCCAGGGCAAATCCCTAGATATATCTTGGGGCACATCCCAGGACACATCTCAGGCACATCTCTGGATATATCTTAGGGCACATCCCAGGCACATCTCAGGCACATCCCAGGACACATCCCTGGATACATCTCAGGCACATCCCTGGATACATCCCTGGACACAACTCAGGCACATCTCAGGGCACATCCCAGGACACATCTCAGGGCACATCCCTGGACACATCTCAGGCACATCCCTGGATACATCTCAGGCACATCCCAGGACACATCTCAGGCACATCCCAGGCACATCTCAGGCACATCCCTGGATACATCCCTGGATACATCCCTGGACACATCCCTGGATACATCCCTGGACACAATTCAGGCACATCTCAGGGCACATCCCAGGACACGTCTCAGGACACATCCCAGGACACATCCCAGGCACATCCCTGAATACATCTCAGGCACATCCCAGGACACATCTCAGGCACATCCCAGGCACATCTCAGGCACATCCCTGGACACATCCCTGGATACATCCCTGGACACAACTCAGGCACATCTCAGGGCACATCCCAGGACACGTCTCAGGACACATCCCAGGACACATCCCAGGCACATCCCTGAATACATCTCAGGCACATCCCTGGACACATCCCTGGACACATCCCAGGGCAAATCCCTGGATATATCTTGGGGCACATCCCAGGACACATCTCAGGCACATCTCTGGATATATCTTAGGGCACATCCCAGGACACATCCCAGGCACATCCCAGGACACATCCCAGGCACATCCCAGGACACCTCCCAGGCACATCCCAGGACACATCCCAGGACACCTCCCAGGCAC